ATACATTCGGAAGGGAAGAAAGTACCACTTCAGTTTATGGACCAAAATTTGGACCATGAATATACACACACGTACACACATGCATGCTACACACACAGACTTCAAACTTACCTTCCAGACCAAGTCCAGGTATCTAAGTTTAGATAGTGCAAATCATTCATCCTTGTTTGCTAAAATAAAAATGTTAAATTGGTCAGTGTTTTACAATTTTTTTCTTTTTTTTTTAGACAGAGTCTCACTTTGTCACCCTTGGTAGAGTGCTATGCTGTCATAGCTCACAGCAACCTCAAACTCCTGAGGTCAAAAGATCCTCTTGCCTCAGCCTCCCAAGTAGCTGGGATGACCCACCTGCCACAACACCTGGCTATTGTTTTACATCTTTTATGAGCTAAAATTATGGTTTTAAAATAAACTCAGATTAAAAAGAGACTATCTCTATTTTACTTAACATCAGAAGTTTAAATATTGGAAAATAATGCCAAGTATTAATACAATTAATAGAGAGCTCCCAAATCAATGTGTGAAAGGGGAAAGGAGGAAATGGGTTTAAACTAGTAAGATTTAGATTAGGAGAAATTAAAAGTTTTCTGATACTGCACTGAAGTAAAAAATGCTCCTCATTAAAATATCATTTATACTGAACCATGATTACTCATATATTGTCTGTCTGGGAAATAGAAGATAATAAAAGTTATTATTGAATGTTAATTTTAACAACTAGACCATATGAATGTTCACTTATTCTGAAAAATCAGAGGCTAAATTTTTATAAGAAGTATTACACATAAAAATTCCATTTCCATTAAAAACACTAACCAAGACACGTCCGCCAAAGACATAACCCTTATTTCCAAGAACTGCACATGTGTGTGCGGCTCGTGGCTGTGGTGGAGCTCCAGCCTGCAAGCAGAGATCAGAAGAGATTGCAAAGATTTAAACACTCTTAACATGCCACACTGCTCTGCTAGGTCTGAGAATGCTTTCCCAGTAAGTCACATTACCTACGTATCATAATTTAACTAAAAACCCTCACGCAAAAGTCCATTCTAAATAGTAACAATCATACACAACCACTGCTCTTCAGAATAACATTTATTCTCTCTGATCTTTCTTTACATTTAAAAACGTTTTTCTTAAATACGTGACACTATTTAGCAAAACAAAATTTCATATAAATTTTTGCTCAAAATACTATATAATGATTTTAAAAACAAAATTTAAAAATTCACTCTCATTTCCTCTCCCCTCTCTCTCACACTCTCACACACACGGAGTTAACATGAGGAATGAACAGGCATACTGTGATCTCTGAAACTCTCATAAATTAAGTATGTTCCCCAAACTCTTAGTGCTTCAAATTCACATAAGAATTTCACTCTTGGCTTGAGCCAAAGAGTGCTTTACTCTTACGGAGCACTTAACATTAACTGATAACACCTCTCTATGTTTTGAATGAAGAAAGCAGATTTTTTTCTTTTTCTTTTTTGAGACAGAGTCTTACTACGTCACTCTCAGTAGAGTGCAGTGACATCACAGCTCACAGCAACCTCAAACTCTTGGGCTTAAGCAATTCTCTTGCCTTAACCTCCTGAGTAGCTGGGACTACAGGCCCCCACTCCAATACCCAGCTATTTGTTGTTGTTGTTGTTGTTGCAGTTGTCACTGTTGGTTAGCAGACCCAGGCTGGGCTTGAACCCACAGCCTTGATGTTTGTGGATGGTGCCCTAATCACTGAGTTATGAATGCCAAGCCAGCAGATCTTTTCTTTAGAGAAGTTTTCAACTGGTAGGAAAAGAGAGAATATAAGGGGGTAGATGAATAAGATAAGATTATCTGTGTAGGCTCAGTGTCTGTAGCTCAGTGGCTAGGGCGCTAGCCACAAACGACGAGGCTAGTGGGTTCAAATCCAGTCCGGGCCTGCCAAACAACAATGACAACTACAACCAAAAAAACAGCCAGGTGCTGTGACGGTAGCCTGTACTCTCAGCTATTTGGGAGGCTGAGGCAAGAGAATCACTTAAACCCAAGAGTCAGAGGTTACTGTGAGCTGTGAAGCCATGGCACTCTACCAAGGGGAACATAGTAAGACTCTGTCTCAAAAAGAAAAAAGAAAAGAAAAGATTATCTGTGTAATTTACACGTTTTCAGATAGGTTCCTTTATTTATGTGTATTTCATAAATATATAATGTATGTATTTATGTATATTTATGGTGAAAAAATGAAAGGAAATGGTAAGAATAATTTAGCTGCTACCTACAGAACACTCAAATAAATGATAGCCATTTAGAATTTTGGTTCCTAGCTCTTCTAGCAAAATAAAATTTGCATTACTCCATGGCTCAGCTGAAATTTTAGAAGAATTATTCTACTTTGTACTCATTTAGTATAAAGCATCTAGTTTTGTTTTCTTATTTATCAAATACAATTAATAGTCAACCACAGTTTCTGAGGAAACTGAGTCCACAGAATTCAAACAAAAACAAAGACATGGCATTGGTATTATTCTGTGTGCTTTACCGAATAAGTAACATACAATGTTCATTAGGTTTTTCTAAATATTGAAAATAACTAAAATATCACTATTATTACCATATTGGTCTTTTAGGGGGGAAAATCCCATGTACAGAAATATCGTCAGCCCTCCCACTTTACAGATGAAACACTGCAGCCCTTCCCTGACAATCAGAATGCACACCCAGCTGTCGGCCTCCACACCATCAGTCCAGGGTGCGCCCTGGCTTTGTGCTGTAGGTATTTGGAAATAAAGAATTAATCTAAGAATAATTCTAAAAAAATTAAAAGAACAGATTGCAGCTACAACCATATCAAAAAAACTTATAGGTAAATGTGTAAACAGCGTAAGAATTTGAGTGAAGACATCATCAGGGAAATGAAAGTGAATATACTGTAAAATACTAACTAAAATGTCCTCGTGTATGGGTGCGACATTGGAGCAGGAGGAGGAAAGGAATATGGAGTAAGGTCAGCAGTCAGGGGAGGCTGGAAGTCAGAGAACTGACTGATTGTAAACCGTTACCTGGGCTCCTTCCCCCGCAGAGCACACTATAAAATTATGTCTTTGGTTGTGTCAGATCTTCCCTTACTCTCTAAGGAAGCAGAGGGTTAAGGGGTCTGAAAGAGATGCAGGGTTGTTCTAAGACTGCTTGTAAACATTGACCCAGTACAGTGAAAGAACCTGTGTAGCCAGGGCCGTGTCCCTCCTGCAGGAGCCAGCCTGCCCAGCCCCCACAGGAGACGGTGAGCCCACAAAGAGAAGCGGGGAAGGGCAGACAGGGGCTGAAAGAGGCAGACAGGGAGGCTGTGATGCTGCTGAGGAACTCGCTCAGCTCCTGAGGCTCAGGCCCCGGCCTTGGTGAGCCGTGCCAAGATGCTTTCCAGGCCTGAGGGAATTTGTTATTGCTTAAGACAATTTGAATCTGTGTTTGGTCACTAGCAAATGAGAGTATTGATAACGTATTTTTGTCATGCTAAATTGAACATACCTCTAAATTTAAGGGTTTTTGAAATAGGACTTTTAAAAGTGGACTTTGTTATTATAAAAGGGCTTTTAAAGCCTTTAAATCAGAATATGACACTTGTGGGTAAAGAATGATAATTGAACCTCTTTAAAAGACTTTTGGGGGGGATGGTACCTGTGGCTCAAGGAGTAAGGTGCTGCCCCCAATATACCAGAGGTAGCAGGTTCAAACCTACCCCCAGACAAAAACTGCAACAAAAAAAAAAAAAAA